TCAGCCAGCAATCAGCTCATTTTTGCCCTTAGCTCAAGCGCCCCTGCCCTCCATTTCTTGTTGATGCAACAAATTAAAACCTTCCTTTCATATTTGAGGTGTTGAAATGTCTCAGGTACCACCAGGAATTTGTGTGTGTTAGGTCCTGGTGACAAAGTTTTAGAAGCAGGGAATAGAAATATGATTTGCAAATGTTATAATTCAGTCATACAGCAGGATTTTGAAGGATCTGGAAAGAACTTACAAACTCGATCTTAGCAACTTGCTATCAGTTATGGTTAAGGCCCTTGAAAATGAAAGTGGAAAAAGAGACGATTTAATAAAATGTCAGACACAGAATCTGATCTAAGATTATATTTCAGAGTCCTAGTTTTCAAAGTCAGTTTTCTGTTCATTATTAAAGAGTATTTAAGCTTATTGAGCCTTCGTGATTATTGGCTATGATTAATATGGTTGTCATTTTAGTTCCTACCAACTCAATTGTATTTCCAGCTTCATTGTAATGCACAAACACATAAGCCTTGAACCTCCTCCTGTTTGGGTGACAATTTCAGGTTTGCATAAACTTTCCCAATCCAGGAAATATCCAAAATCATGCCACAGTCTCATCTGTGGTCTCCCATGACCATATAGGAACAGTGTTTAGTTTATGACATTAACTGGAAGGGTATTACATCCTTCTCTCTTTGCCAGAAGGAAATTATTTTTTTTAGAAGCAAGGATAGTTTCCATGGATGGAATATTAAGCATATTAATTGATTTTGTTCTGTATACATTGTAATCTACAGATGTCCTCTGTTTAAGATATTGTCCATGTGCCTAACTAATTTATTTAATGTCTTCTGTGTGACACACAATGTGCTATGTGCGCGGAGGATCTTTCTAAATTGTCAGTATTAAGGGAGAGATCATAGAAGCTAAGAGAATAGTGGTGGTTGTCAGAGGCTTGGCAGGGACATTGCAGGAGAGTTGGGGAAAGATTAACAGGTACCAAGTTATAGCAATGTGGGAGTTAGGAAATTCAGAGATCCTATTACACAGTAGGGTGACTATAGGTAGTGATAACATACTGCATATTTCTCTGGAGAATAACTAACAGATAGGATTTTGGATGTTTTTCCACAAAGAAATGTTAAATATTTGAGGAGATAATATATGTACCTTGAGTGGATATTACACAATATATACATAAATCAAAACATACAGTATTTCATAGATATGTACAGTTTTGTGCTTGCTAAAATTTTTTAAATGCTAAAAATGTCTCAAGGTGTCACATGCATTCAGAACAAATACTAACATTTACCACGGGAAATAGACTTTTTGAAGATATAACACTGGAGGATACACTTGGAGAAGATTTAAACGGGAAAGTTGGAGGGACCAGAACATAAATTCTTGAAGCAAGCATTAGGCATTACGAAGGAGCATTGTGAAGCAGACTGATTGTTCTCTGAGTGGTAGATCGTTGCACAGGGTGTGAATTAGGAAGATGATCAGAGTAGACTGTGCTCAGATCAGAGAGTGGAGGGAAAAGCTGGCATAAATTTGGGAGAATTTTTCTGAAGGATAGGACAGTGTGGAGAACTGTGAGCACTCAGAGAAAAAAGGGAAAAAAGGGTGGGGAACGCAGTTTGTGACAGCCTTTGCTTCCTGAGACCTTGTACCACTGCTTATTGGTGCTTGGAGACAGGAGTCAAAAAATAATGTGTAAAAGGTATGCCCATATTTTTGCAGGAAAATAAAGAGCAGGCAGTTCTGATTGACTGCTGAATCCCATCTGGTGTGTGACGGGCTTGTTGGTGCTTGACAGTCTTGTTGGTTGCAGGTAAACACCACTATGAATTCATGGGCAGTCTAAAGCAGAAAACATTCTGAACAATGCAACCAAAATGACTTCTTAATCTGGAAATACACTTCTAGATAATACTGTAGAGGTTTCATTAAGCATGTTTTCATAACCTGAGCTTGCTTGAAATTAAAATGTTTGTGTGCTTTTATTATAGAGTTCAAAATATAATGTGGGTCAGCTTTGTAATATCCATTTCCTTAGCAAACAAAATTCATATAGTAAACAAAAATTCAGTCACATCTGTTATTGACAAGTTTACACTATAATTTTATAAGGCTCACATTTTTAAAATTTGATGCTATTTTTGCCTGTTGAAGAAGTGATTTCTGTGAAATCTATAATGTTTACATTTTGAAAGATTTAATTTTGAAAATCCATTCTTAAAAATGTATCAGGTTGGGGGCTGGCGCCGTGGCACACTAGATTAATCCTCCACCTGCAGCGCCAGCATCCCATATGGGCGCTGGTTCTAGTCCCGGTTGCCCCTCTTCCAGTCCAGCTCTCTGCTGTGGTCCGGGAGGGCAGTGGAGGATGGCCCAGGTGCTTGGGCCCTGCATCTGCATGGGAAACCAGGAAGAAGCACCTGGCTCCTGGCTTCGGATTGGCGCAGCTCTGGCCTTAGCGGCCATTTGGGGGTGAACCAACGGAAGGAAGACCTTTCTCTCAATCTCTCTCACTGTCTATAACTCTACCTCTCAAATAAATAAATAAAAAATCTTTATAAAAAATGTACCATGTGGAAATTAGGCAAAAAGTTTCAGGATACAATACCAGAAGCAGAACGGTCTTCCACCTCTGCTCCTGGTCACCTGCTTTCCCTCTCAGAAAAATATCCCTGCCTGCCCCCACTTGGTTCATTTTAAATAATCCTCAATATAATGATAAGCTCTCATCCTATATCTTACTGAATTTAGTTTATTACTAAAGCAGTAAAAGAGCTAACTGTATTGATGTTACATATTGTATTTGCAATGACAAAAAATATCAGTACTGTTTTTTAAAAAATATATAAACTCATCCTATGTGAGTGATTCTATATGATCTTTATTTTTCCTGTCTAACATTTCATTATTAATTGTTCCAGTTTTCAAACAATTCTCTGCTGCATCTGAGAAAATTCCAGCTTTTGTGACTGAAATCCTTTGTGTTTTTTAAAAGGCCACAAGTACATCTAATTCTTAAAGATTAAGAGGTGTTTTTCTTATTTTATCTAACTTGCACATAAAAAACATACCATATTTGATGGTTTAATGAAGGTCAACATGAAAATTTGCATTTTTCTTTTCCTTCATAACACCAATACAGAATACTTACATCATGTGTATTTTACATTTTATTTAATTAACTGAGAAAGTGAGCTACATAGGGCAGCAGTTATTTTTTTCCACGCCTACATTATTGGTTCTTCAATATGGCCTAGATAATAGAGAGGTTCTGTACATTGAATGAATAAATGCCAAGTACAAACTTAAATAACACATAAAACAGTATCTTTTTAAATGCTAAACAAAATTGGTCTCACATGGTATGTATTTAGATTTTGGTTCATTTTGAAATATGAAATTTCACTTTCATATTTGCAATTAATTGTGCAATAAAGAAGCCAAATATAATGCTTATAGTAAAAGTTGCCCCAGGAAGTTTTGAAAACAGTTATAACACTCTTTACTACCTGTTGCATGTTTAGTATGTGTGTGCATGTTTATATAACTGGCACATCCTATGACAGCGTTTTCCCCTCCTGTGCTACAAGTTACACATGGTAAACAGGACACCTAATGTAATTTGATAGGGTCATTGCCTTGACTACCAGAGCCAAGCCTCAGAATTTAATCTCATATCTCCTGTGAGTCTTATCATATGTCTGGGTCACTAAGTTTGGTTGCTGGTCTTGATCTTGCCACTGATTAAAGCTTTTTGCATACAATCATTTGGGAACTAATGTAGTTTTTTCCTAAACTCTCTGTAGAATTAACCTTCCCATCTTCCTGCCATGTTTATAGCTTTATTAGCCATTAACCTGCCTTATGAATAATGTGAATGTATTCATATTTTTCTACAAAAGAGTGTTGTTGGTGATGTGAGTGTGTGTATTAGCAAGGCATCGTACCTCCTCTTATGGAAAGTACATACTTAGCCAAATTTATTAAGTTGCATTTATACTTCATATCTAGGTCAGCTTTCACTCAGTGTTTTATAATGCTATTGTTTTTGTGAACAATAAGTTATTTCTGAAAACTTCTCAAGGGAATATTTTGATAACCCACTGTTACTTATGGCAGAACATTATGGAAGTTATTTTAGCTTCCTAAATATTCTGAAACCTATCTTACGCAATTTCTTTAAAATCTTGACGTTCTATTCCTATTTGATTTTTTAGCAGGTTCAGAATTGTAATTATATATGTGACAGAGTTCAGAGTTGAGTTATATACATAAGTATAGAACAAGTGACCTACCAGGATGGTTCTGGGAAAACAAAAAAGCTTTGCTATTTAAGGGCCATAATTCTAATCTCATGAAGGTTTCTTATTTTGTTATTCCAAGGGGAAATGTTTTTGATATTTTCATTTTATTAAAATATGCATTCAAATGACAGGATAGACCCCTTATTTACAACAAAGGTAGTACATCTTTACCTTTCTTTTTCATGAATTATCCCAACTAAAGTTAAAGGCAGTATACGTTTTCCTTTCAAATTAAGGCAGACTTCTTGAAATTTTTCAGCTTGAGGAGAATTTCTGCTTTCTTTGCCCACCAACGGGTGATTGATCAAGTGGATTTAAAGGCCTTAGTGTTGACGACTGTGCACTTTTGGTTGTTGTAGGAAGAGGCTGGTACAGACGGAACTGGCCTTCCTCTGTTTCTTCAGTGGTAGAACGTATGTGACTAGGACAAAGAAATAGGGCTGTTTTCCCGTTCCATTATTTTAAAATTTTACACTCAAAGTTCTGCAGTTGCTTGTGTTCGTAAGTTGCGTCCCTTAGGAAGAATGCCTTTTAAATGTTTAAAGCGTTCCTTTTGAAAAACTGTTCAATTATGATGCAGAAATTACAGATAGCTGTTACTGGATTGACACCTGACTATTCCTTCCACAGATTTTTAAAAATATTTGTTTGCCTGAAAATGCCTTGTGATTTTATTTTTAGGGGGATAGTTCCTACGTGAAAGATCGCTGGTGCGTTTTTGATGGATTTATGGTGTTTTGTCTTTGGGTTTCATTGGTGTTACAGGTAATTAAATATTTTTAAACTACAGGGGGGAGTTCTCCAAATGAGTATTGTTTTTCACCGGAAGTCTAAATAGAAATGTTAAAGAATATATATCAAATGTAATTGTGTAATGCCCTACAGCATTATGTTTATTATAATGGTTGTTGACAGGCAAGTTCAATTTTAATTATTATTGGTTACATTTGTGAATCAGTGTTCAATAGCTGTTGAAAGTCAATGTTACAGGTGATTATTTGTTTTTAAACAGATATATAAAATCTATTCATTGAAATACAGAAAAATGCGAGGTGATATTTCTGTATTTATAAAATAAAAATGGAATTTAAAATTCTAGCCTATTCATGTGACTAAATCCTCATTAAAAGCAGCTAAGTCGATTTAAATTGGGATTCATATTGATCAACATAAAATACTACATTCCAAATGCAACATGGCTTTATAAGAAATGGGGAACATTTCAAATGCTTAAGAGCGGGAGTTTGTTGGAAAATAGTAGAATTTCTTCCCATGCATTCATTTAGGCTTCATTTTGCTCTGAATTTCACCAAAATGAGTATATGTTTTTGATTTGATTTGATTTTGATAAGAAAACTGAATCTGAGATCCACCTTTGTAAAAAATTTTTAAGTGTACGATATGTGAATGTTGATGGGTACCATGTTACATGGCAGATCTCTAGTGTTTGTGCCTCATTAAATATTCAGAGTGACACACACTCACAGGCTGCCTGCCAGCTCCTCATGGTGTTTGTTCATAAGCTCCTTCCTTATTTTTATAACACTCATCTCTCCAGTGATCTGATTGTGTCCCACCTATTAGTATGTTCATTTTCCATTTAATCATCTTTGTGTTATTGATAAGTATGTTGATTATCATTTTGCCTCTGTCAACAAATGACAAAATTTCTTTTTTTGTCACAGTATTTTCCTATTTTCTCCATTATGGATTTTGAGTTAATGAGGAAGACTTAGTATACTTGCACTTTAGTCGAAGTTACACTTGTTTTTGTATTGAAAGCTGTGCCTCAATGAATCAGATGAGAGATTAACAAGACGAATGTCCCTTTCATTAGTTTGTATATTTCTTTTAAGGTAGCCACAGATTCAAAATGTATGCAAAAGAAACTTAATTTTGGTGGACAGTAATGTAGATTCAGAGCACAGGGTACAAGTCCTTGCACTGTTGACTGTATGTTCCAAGACTACAAGCAATAATGCTAAGGGAAAATCTAAACCTGTTCATTTGCACCTTAATTGACAGGTGTTTGAAATTGCTGATCTAGTCGATCAAATGTCACCTTGGAGCATGCTGCGAATCCCCCGGCCTCTAATTATGATCCGGGCATTCCGCATTTACTTCCGATTTGAACTGCCAAGGACCAGAATCACGAATATTTTAAAGTAAGCACTGCTTTTGCCTACACTGGGGCAGGGAGAGCTTCCTGAAAATGTTCTAAGTTTTGTCAACGTTGTCTGCTTTTATCCCTTAGGCGATCGGGAGAACAAATATGGAGTGTTTCCATTTTCCTGCTCTTCTTTCTGCTTCTCTATGGGATTTTAGGAGTTCAGATGTTTGGGACATTTACCTATCACTGCGTAGTAAATGACACAAAACCAGGGTAAGTTTGTGAACTGTGATAACATCCGGGCGATTAACCAGGGCATTTGAAAATTTTCACAAGTAAAACCTCAGTATCAGAGAGAGAGAGAGGAGTGTTTATGTACTCTATGCTGTGTTTCCTCAGTATTGTTTTGTCCAATTTGTGAAAGACAGGTCTGTAGTCACACCAGATTGAAAAAGGCACCAGATGGGCGAGTAGATGGGGCACATGCCGAGTATACACTTAGAAAGCCACATCAGTCTGGCAGAATGTGATACATTGACAAAACTGATGCACCTTTCATGATGTTAGAAGTGGGGTGCATGTTAGAGAAAAAGATCATTTTTATATTTATTGCCTCTGATCATTCTTCCCTAAAATGTTTCCTGAAGGTGTTGTAACCTCATTTCTAGACAAGACATTATTATCAGCTGCATTTCTGTTTTGTACTGTGACCAGGGAAGAGACAATGCATTTAGTTAGCTAGTGTTTGTTGTGCAGGGAGAGCCCCTGCTTTTCCTACAAGGCTAACTACTGTTCATGGATGGCACAAGGGGAGGAGTTGTGGAAGGAGGGAAGGGAAGGGGTGCTGGTCCCACGGCACACTGACCAAGTGTCCTCGCAGTGCCTGTTGGAATCTGAGTGAGCACTTACAGGACCACCTAGAGGCACAACAGATGTGGCTCGACCACGTTGTAGGACGTGAGGTTGGAGAGGTGGCAGAATTAATGTTACCTCTGTTTTCAGGCTTTGAGCAGGAATTGGTCTGTTGGTTTACAGGAACTCTTCTATAAATCACAGAAAGAAAATTCTTGATTTGGCTCATAGAAACTAAATAAGAAGCATTTTATTAAGTTCAGTAGAGATTATAAACTGTCATTCATCTTCAAAATATTTTAGTGTGGTTCCTTTACAAACCAATTGAGTATATGAAGATTATTGAGTTTTAAAAACAGTGGAAACTGCTACTTGGTGTTTTCTGCACTTGAAGGTTTTTTTTTTTTTTTTTTTTTGTAAAACATGTATTTCTATGGGGGAAAACTAGGTAAATGGCAGATAATGGCAGATAAAGAATCTTCATATGTTCTTATGAGTATATACATCATGCTAATCTTGGTTCAATTCCGAGTCTTAGTTGTGTGACTTGTATACCTTGTTGAGTTCATTGCTTTGTGAGGTGGGGAGTGTAGCAGCATACAGGAAGGTGAAGTGAGAAAGTGAGCCAAGACATAAGCATAGTGCCTGGCACACAGGGAAACCACTCTCTCTATACTGGTTGTCTTGGTTGTCACTCACGCTCATGGTAATTGTAGATTACGTGACTTCTAAGAATATAACGCAATGTCCTGGAGACTACAGATTATGTTTGCTGTTTGCTGTTTCTCTACCCACAAAGGATGTAATTCTAGCTTGATGGAAATTTTTCTCCCCATCTGATTTTTAGCATATGCAAGGTTCTCAGAAAACATGAAAGAATGCAGTGACTTTCAAAATCATTAGGAAAATTTCACTGGTGAAATGTCAAGTGCAAAACATTAGGTATTAATCAATGCCCTAATTATTATTTGTTTTATTTGTCTTTGTGAAGTACATGAATGCATGTCAAATATATCAAAAATTATTTTAGGACTGTGAGCAGACACCATGTACTCTTTTATAATATACAGTATTGTGGGGAGCAACTGAGACTAGACTAAATTACTGGAACTAAAACTAACACTATGCATCTGATCTCCCACCATATGGCGCTGAGCGACAGCAAACAACTTCTACACAGCTGCCTTGCCAATTTGACTGATAAGCTGCAGGAGCTGATCCTACTCCTGATTGGAGGAGAGCAGCGTGCTCAGCCTGTGGGTAGCAGAGTTGGGATTGGTGGAAGAGGACTATAAAGGAAGAGAGAGACAATATGCACCAGAAAACATCTGAGGAACATCTGAGCAGCCCCTGAGAGAGCCGGCCAGCAGTGTGCCACTCCTCCGCGGAGGCGGGGGAGGGGGGCAGCAGCAAACCCGGGACGGCGTTGTTCCTCCGCGAGTGAGGGAATGGCAGCTAACCCGGGAAGGGCTGGGCAAAAAAAAAAGCGCAGGGGCCGGGGGCGTTCCTCCGGGGAAAGGGGGAGGAAAAAAGAATCATGTTGAAAAAAAGGGGCCCCTTTTTTAA